TTTTTAAATAAAAAATAAATTATATACTTATGCTACTTTTTTATAGGCACATTAGCATTGAACACCATGATTTTAAACAGATTACACAGATTAATACTGAGTGCAATAAACCTTGCCAAAGAAATATCAGGTTCAATAGGCAACTGATTCCCTAGTTAGCATCAAGTTATATAGAATCGCTCTTCTGCACTGTAGCTTCAAGAATATGGTTAGTGTTGAGATAATTCCCTGTTAGGAGAATGAGCGCACACAGGGAGATGTAGTGAGAGTAGTGAAGAATAACACACAACCAGCACACAGATACACTGTATAGTAAAATGTAGGTTTTTACTTCCTCTAAACGGTTAAGCAAAGTTCAACAAACAGTCCAAGTCATTCACGGTTAAAGCAGTCAGTTTTCAGTCCAGGGATAATCCAAATCAAAGTCCAGTATCAAAAACAGTTCAGTAACAGACTTACATTAAATCCAAGAAAAACTATGATCAGCAACAGTCAATAGGGAAAAATTCAGGAACCAAAAACAACACTGTCAGCAACAACAGAACAGAACAACCCAGGTTTCTGGCTCCATCTTATGGCCGTTTGAGGAACCTCACCCAATTACAATTTTAGCATTCCCTTAAAGAGACAGTATTAAAATGTCTCTTTGGTTTATATATTTTCCAACCCAACTGTTAGGTGACTTACATTCCTAACAGTTAGGATGGTTGATAACCAATTATTCCTTTGCTCTTCTTTACCCCCCCCCCCCCACTGCTAGACCTTTTCACTGTTTAATTTAACTGTGTTTTTAAAGCCTTGTGTGCATTTAAAAAGGTATCGCCCTTTGCTTGTGGGCCATTGTTTCTCAACTGTGGCAACTTTATGATATCTGGACTTCAACTCCCAGAGTTCCTGAGTCAGCTGTATCAGCTGAAGTCCACCAGTCCTGAAAGGGGCCATATTTCCCCGCTTTTCCTGTTGGCTTTTCCAAATGGAAAATCCCAGCTGGGGAAAAAAAGAGTTATTGCCATCTTCCCTGATTATCTGATAAGGGAGGGTGGACATCTGGATTTTGAAAGGGCTGAAAGAAAGGAAATACTATGTCCTGAGTGTAGAGAAGGGTGACAGAGGAACCACAACAGGCTTGCTAAAAGTCCTTATTGGTGCAGGATGTTGGCATGGCTATTTTGCTACTTTCCTTAGTGTATCTCCTGTCAACCAACCAGCTATATTTCCTGCTTAAATTACACTCAAAATGATGCTACAGAGCACTGCACAACAGAAGAACTAGACACAAGGACAGTTTTTTTCCCTGAACAGCATCACTCTGCTAAACAAATAATTCCCTCAACACTGACCAACTATTTACTAATCTGCATTACTATTAATCTTCTCAACCTTCCTTTCACCCTTCTCCTCCCACTTATGGATGTATGAATGAAACTTTGTTGCTTGCAACCTTTACGATGCTTATTGACTGTTTACTAGTATGATTTGATAGTCCCTAGCTTATTATTGTGTTTCCTAGTATGATGTCATTGCTTATTTGTACCCTATGACTACTGCTAAGTTTTATACTTATGATTCTTGACATATGTGTCTTTTCTTTTTATGAACACAGACTGCATATGCACCAAAACAAATTCCTTGTATGTCCAATCACACTTGGCCAATAAAGAATTCTATTCTATTCTATTCTATTCTATTCTATTCTATTCTATTCTATTCTATTCTATTCTATTCTATTCTGTTCTGTTCTGTTCTGTTCTGTTCTGTTCTATTCTAAAGTAACTTAAATATAAAAGTGTGCTGAAGAAATAATTCAGGGTCTTTTCTAGCCTTATGAGAGAACCCAGTTTTATCCAAACCTGAATACTGGTATAGTTGATTTACCAGCACACGTAGGACCAAAATTTCTGTTACTAAGCGAGACAGTTGTTAAGTGAGTTTTGCCTCGTTTTACAACCTTACTTGCCCCAGTTGTTATGTGAACCTCTGCAGTTGTTGAGTTAGTAACAGCTGTTAAGTTAGTGATGGTGAAGGGAATCTGACTGCTCTATTGACTTAGCTTGCCAAAAGGTGGCAACAGGTGATCACATGACCACAGGATGCTGTGACCGTTATAAATAGGAGTCAGTTGCCAAGCACCTGAATTTTGATAGCATGAGTATGGGGATGCTGCAATAGCTGTGTGAAAAGCAGTCATGAGTCACTTTTTTTCAGTGTCATCGTAACTTCAAAATGGTCACTAAATGAAAGGTTGTAATTCGAGGACTACCAGTATATGTTTGACCCAGAGAGAATTGGACTCTGCCTCTTTTGTTGGTGCCAAGCCAGACAAAGTACTCCTGATTAACAACTCAGCATAAATCCCTGGATATGGGAAGAGGTCAAGCTCTGTGGTCCTTTAATGCAGGGGTCCCCAACCACCGGGCCGCGGACCGGTACCGGTCCGTGGATCACTTTGTACAGGGCCGCAAAGAAAATAAAAAATAAAATAAAAATGGCGGCTTTCTTCGCCTTCGGTGAATGCTGCTGGGATCAAGGACACAAATGAAAGAAGGGGAGGGAGGAAGCAACCAAAGCCTGTCCTATTCTCCGGCTCAATGGCTTCGGTTTCCTCCCGCCTCATTCCTCTCTCAGTCGCTCTCTCACTCCTCCACCAGCCCAGGAAGAAACTGCTTCAAAGAAGCCGGCAGGGTGGCTTTTCCTGTCGACGCAGCTCTTCCGAAGCGCCCGTTCACCCCCACCCAGCTGCCCTCGGTTCAATCCAGTGCTCCGTTCTGCCTGCCTGCCTGCCTTAGTTTCTGGTGGTTTCGGAGCAGCTTCGGCTGAGAATAATAACTATTCGCCTCTTTTACTCAGCCGAAGCTGCTCCGAAACAACCAGAAACGAAGGCAGGCAGGCAGAACGGAGCACTGGATTGAACCGAGCGCGGCGGGGTGGGGGTGAACGG